TTATCGTAAATAGCCCGAGAATGAATATTAATAGGTATAGTAAATATTATAGGCATTGCATGATACGTCTCGTTGCAGAAGTTAACGATAGGTAAATGCTGTTATTTAGCAGTTATCTATAAATTACATATCTCGATATGATTCCTTCGGAAAGGCCGATCAAGAGGAACACATTAATTTTTCTATGCCGTGCTCGTCCCCGTGAAAGACTGGTAACATCGACACGGCGGAAGGAGCCGCGGGGGTCTTGCGGATATTGCCACGCGGGCCTGCGTGAATCGGACCAACGTAACATACTCGAGAAAAGCTCATTGGTGAACGCCGCGCATTTCGATAAGTTATGTCGTGCAGTTTTGTTTAAGGTGAAACAGGTTTCGTGTTAGGCTCATCACAGGCGTATCCTACGTTCTAAAGTTAAAAGACATGTAAACGTGATTGCTTATGCCGACTAATATAGCCATTTCTGGTCACTGACCACGATACTATGCTCATTGCATGTACGAAGAATTGCACGCTCAACTTTCGAAATAAGGATCGTTCTAGTGGATCGATCAAGCCGTCTCCTGTTGAATGCTTCATTGCCAACCGGACGCGCGGTTCCCCTTGTGAACCCGGGCGCTCGTTTCCGTTCAAGGTTGCTGTTGGCTGTGCGTTCTCAGGTATGTTTTGATTTTTGCACCCAGCACCTGCGAAAAGAAAACACTCAACTCTTAGACATGCGAATAACAAGAACACATTAGCGAGATCTACTCGGAGACCTCATCTTCCTCCGGCCTATCCACACCGATGCTGCGTATGCCGTTCCTCAGCAACGGGGTACCCTTATCTTTCCCTAAGACACGTGCGTTCAACTGGATCTTCAGCGGGGTTCCTGATTTGCAACAACTTATCTGTACCTCTTCCTTCAGTATCTTCTCTTTATGCGCCAGAAACTCCAGCTTCAACCTGTTACAAAGAAACACCCTTGAAGCTCTTTACTGGCACGTTTACAATTGAATTAAACAGTTGAAACTGTTGAATCTTTGTAACGTGTTTCACCTTAAGCCATCCTTTTCTTGTCCTAAGTCAACAATGCGACAATTGGGATTGTTGTTTCCTGTGGCTACGGCTGGTACCAGTGTCTTCCCTTCATTATGCACGCATAGGTTCCAGGGAATCAAGAATTCCACGAGATACCTATGGAGAAATATGAGTTACATTAGATTCGTTGGTGGAATGAAATTTAGTGAATGAATGAAAATGATACCAGTGATGGAGCTGTAAAAACCCGAGGTGAGCATCAATCTGTCCATGTCGCTGCGGTTGTATCATGATATTGTTGTCTTTCCCGAGGCCGCTTCCTCCGCTGAAGTGCACGTGATGTTCTGTACAATTTTTTAATTAGGAGAAAAGAGATTAGTTCGGTTTAGTTCGGTTAACGTTAATTTAATATACATAATGTAATAAGAACATAATTAAACATATTTCTAATAACTAAATAAAACATGTTTCTTCGAGTGTACAGGAATCGGTTAATTAACCTAATTTGAAGTGACGCGGGGAAACTAACCGGATATCAATACTTCTGAATCACACTGACACGAACTTTCAGCGTTTTCGTGTTTACTGGTATCACGCTTTGATAAAGGGTTCATTAACACGATTAAAGTTTAATCTCTAATTAAACATTAAGCGAAAGGATAATTTCAAATTCTTATTGTGACAGAGTAATTCAATTGTTTTATATACGAAACCGTTATGATTATTCTAAAAAGAATTTTACTAACTGGAAAAAGAAATTGGTTAAGGTTAATACATAATTGGTATACTTAAGTATAATAACTGAAACAGTTTCATTTAATAATCTATTATAATCGACGAAAATTTATATTTGTACAATTTATTTTTACACGGAATCACCATCTGGCGGTTGCACCGTGAATTATGTCTCCCCATTAAGGCGGGAAAAGGATTAAGGAAAAAAAAACGAAATTAAACATTTTTTTCTTGAATCATCAATTAGAAAGCAGTATCAGACCTCTACAGTTCAAAGTCATCGGTACATACGATTATAGGAGACACAACAGAATAAGCTATTTCAAGAAAACGAATGTATAGACAAGTGAAGACCTAAATGTCCAATGTTATAAGCCCGGATTGGAGGCTAGGAACATATCTACTCTGTTCGTGTAAGTGTATCTACACAACAGTAAAAGATTAAGAGTTATATGACAATTTACGTAATGAACGATAACGCGAAGAAAGCAGGCAGATAAGCAAACCAATTTCGAAACGAAGAAATTTTGAAACTGAATATATTACGTTACGTATCAACGTGTAATTCAATGTATCTTTTCGATGTTTTATCAGGTAAAACTCGCTACTAGCAATTAATTATTCGTTAGGAAAACATTTCCAGTGATGGTAAGTATCAACGAACTATATCGGCACAGTTGTGTGGCATTATGTGTCACTTTCGATTTGCCGGATATCTGTCAGTTCGCAAGAAGTGTTAAGTCACAGATTAAATATCATCCGGTGGTTAAAAGCCGGCTGGAAAGGTTAATGCAACAGAGGGATCGATGTCGATGTAAAGAAAGCGGGATAGCTTTGGAAGATCGAAATGTTTAATAAAAAATTCAATGTTCCTTGGATAACTGAAACGTTCAAAGTGGCGCGCTTTCAAATGACCCAGTTATTAGCATATCCTAACCTAGTACGTTACGACGAACCGGCCTTGAGGAACTCGCGAACACCCGGGAATTTAATCTGAATTTTAATTAAACGCAGGTTCCGATTGTACGAGCGTTTCATTGTTTTGCAACTGTCAAAGTGCTACGCGAACTTATGCGGATGGAGTGCATGGCACGATGAAGTTTTAATGAGATTGAACGACCACTGGAACGCGAATGATAATTACGTGTTTCTCGGAACGGTTTGTTACCTTTATCTCCCATGTCTTGTAAGGCAATTTGGCAGTTGTACTTTCATGCTACACACAACTACTTAATTTAATATTCCGTACCGCAATGTTCACTGCACTTCTCTACGTTGGTAGTATGCATCGCCAGTGCATACCGTTCTATCGCATCGAATGGTTTCGTGCGTTGGCACTGGTGGCAGCACTGACCTTAATTAGAAATCAAATTACTATTTTCGTATCAATATTTCTGATAGGATATCAATTTATTTCAGATATCATTTGGGAAACGTTGCAACGGAAAGTAGAATTTTTTAGGTTAGGAGAGTAGCTTGCATGCTGCGTTTAATTAGAAATCAAATGACTATTTTGGTATCGATATTCCTGATAGGATGTCAATTTATTTCGAATATAATTTAGGAAAAATTGCAATGAAAAATGGAATTTTCGAGGTTAGGAGGGTAGCTTGCATGTTGTTGCATCTTCCAGGGGTTATTGATTCACTAAAAATATCGTTGATAAAGGTATTTACATAAACTAAACTTGTTTGTTTCACTGTTACAGGTGATCAGAAATGTTGAAAACGAGGGAATCACGAGCATTGAACTATGACACAGGAAACAAGTATATTGCAGCTTTGTGCAGTTGGATATGTTCCATTTGTTGGAAGAGATATTAAAAGAATTTAAACGAAGAACAATCACTGACAATCATTCGTTTCACTGCATGAAATATTAAAGAAAAGTAAATGAAAGTTTTGTATGATTAATCGCTTACGATGAATTAATTATGATTAATTGTTTCCCTAAGTGGAGATCAAGTATATAATATTGTCAATTGTAAAAGAGTAATAATGTAAAAGCGTCAATTTGAAACTTTCTCTTGACCACCACTGTGTACACATATCAGCGTGGAAGTTTGTAATAAATCATCATTACAGGATGCTTTCATTAAATTATATGCAACACCTGATTGCCCTGTTTATTAGTAATTTCCTGTACGAGGACGATGGTCAAATATTATCCATAATTAAAATGATGAATAATTGTGGTGTCTGGCGGCCATTGTTCCTATTTCCGTTTTCCGTGGCTGTCAATGCCTCACGATTTATTTTTTCGACTCCTCGTCTCTCTGCCTAATGGAAAAATAATATTCACAGCCTCGCCGTGTTCTCTGCGACCGGCGAGAAAATCCGGCGTGCGCTTTAATTGTTTTTCCTTGTAAAAAATTATAAAGTAGGCAGCCCGATGTAATCGATCCTAAAGATGATTTATATTGACGATAACTATAAAGACGGTGTTCCCTCGGAATACACGAAAGGGGATATTTAAGTGTGTTCAAGTACGAATGATATAATGCCGATTATGACCGCGGAAGGTCAAAAGTGAAAGACTTGACAATACTATGCGTGTTTGTTATTTTTTTTATATTAGCCAACATCATCAATTTTCTGCGGCTGAAAGGGAACACGAAATGCTATTACCCTATTTTTATATCATTCGTTTCTCGGTAGATTTCTCGATTTTGTAACTTATAAAAATGACGATCAGTATCGTACAGCGTGCGTTCATTTTGGTATACATTTCTTGTACCAGTGAATACAAATGTTTTTTTGTTTTCATTGTTAGCATCGATGTTCATCGATTAAACACGATTGCTCGGCTAATAAAATGATTTATGTAAAATTCTTCCTCATTCTTCGGTTGGCATTGCGATACTATTTTATCCTGAATTCTAATGGAAGATTCTGTTGTTTTTATACGAATCGCAGCAATCAGTCATCCACAATTATTCGCGGAAAACTTTAGACTTAAGCAGAATGATCCACAGTGTAGCAAGAAATACAAAACGACCACATTATGATTCGCCACATTATTATCTTTCAATCGTGTGCCGCCTAGCCAGGTAACCGATAAACGTAACGTGAAACGATCTTATTCCCAATCGCTTTTAATTGCTTCGGCCGTGCTCAACCAACCATAAGTCGTAAGAATAAAACGTAATATTAAATCCCATTGAAATTATAATAGACCCGACTGTTTAATTACACGCGAGGAAAATGATAATGCTCACTGTGAACATAAAATTACTGCGAACAGTGAGTTATTAACTGTAATATGTAAATTGCAGCTGAACGAATCTAAAATAAACTGTTTAAGTCTTTAAATTTGATTTAAAAAGTCTTTAACACTAGATCTACGGAAATTTACTATACAGTTCAGTACGGTACAGTATATAACTGCATCAATCAAAATCGACTTAAACATTTACCAAATAATGTTTATAAAATTCAGTGTGAGTTAAATTGACTCTTTCCGTAAATCTAGCGTTGAATCTTCAAATGATTTAATAGTAAACTTGACGCTTTTCAAATTGGATCCGTCGCATACGGGAGCATGCGTTAAAATGGCGGATAGAAGGGAAACGAACGTTCACAGTTTTTCTCTTAAATTTTCTTATACGTAGAAAAATAAATAAAATATTGACTAGTCAGAAGGAAGAAGGAAGGGGTATGGCTCAATTAAAACAATTAAAGTGTCTATTAAAAACATTGTTCTTTGATATATAAGAAACATAAGAGGAAAAAGTATAGAGTCTCGGTAGATTTCAACGCGGCTCGAGATACTTACATAATCAGCTTTACTCATACGCGACTAATAAAAGCGGATAATCAATTCTGGAAAACCACCGTTGATCCTTCGGAACGAATATAAAATAACAAAGTTTATTGTGACCTTCGCCGGGCAGGTGGGGCGTTGACGGAACGCAGAAGATGAATTTACGCGCGATCCATGGCGCATATTTATAAATGAAATTCGATAACATGTGCATGGGCGAAGACGGCATTATAAAATTGCCGATGGTCATCAATTATTCATGACGATTAGGAGGACTACCATCTTTTCTTATTTGATCTCTCCCTTTTTTTCCTCTTCCTTCGCATGTTTGAACAACGTCACCGTAATTCGTAATGGATTTTGAAGAGGACGGGTTGCCGGGTCATTGATCGCTTCGCGATGACGGCGCTGTTTATTCCTAAATATAGAATCCTAAATTGTTGGAGTTGTAAAACAGTCTTATAATTTTCAGCGACGCGAATGAAGCACTTTAACCCTTCGCAGACGAAGATTCTCTGAAATACAGAAAACTCTGAACAGATGAAACTAAATTATGTATCAATTAACTACGTGCTGATCTCTTGCTATTCAAGTGATTAAATCATTCGTTTACGACTTAGTCTTTTAAACATAAACATTTTATCTCGAAATGTCGACATTCGTCCGCAAAGGGTTAAAGTGTTCTTAACACTTTGATCTACCACCCTAAGCGAAATTGATATTCGTTCGTTTAGATTTTAGAAATTAAAGGTTCGAGAGTCGTTAAGATACACATTCGCCTAACTGCATCAGTCAAAATCGATCCAAACACTTAGCGAATAATATTCATAGAATTCAATGCGAGTCAAATCGACTGGGTCCATAAATCTAGCGTTGATCTTTTTCAAACTTTCGAATATGTTACGATCTTTCAACTGTTGCATTCACCGAATAGTGATTTATTATCTTCGTACGCGCGTTTAGCTGTAACTTCTATTCTTTTATTCGAAATAAAAGGAGGTGGATCCGAGTGGAGGATCTTCCATTGAAATAAACGAAAGAAATATTCGTTTTGTACTTGCCTCCTCGTGACAGCAGACGAAAGAGCCGTCTGTTATATTAAAGTCCTTTGTCAAGATAATCCACCACGCATCCTTGGTTGCACAATCGACGAATATTGTGATACGTAACCGGGGGCGAAATGTCGGCGCGTCTCTGTCCGAAAAACACACGCCGCGTCGGTTCGCTGCCCGATGGAAGGAGAAACCATGACACATCGGCGTCGTTCCTATCTGGAACTATAAAAACGCCTGGAAGATCGGATCTGTGTACAGTTCCCAGCGAACATCACGTCAGACTTCGTCCGAACGGCTCCATCAACCACCGATAACGAACATGAAGGCCATCCTGCTCGTCGCTGCCCTCTGTTTCGTCAGTGCTCTGGTGAGATCTCCGAATTTTTCGAGCTTATTCCTTTTTCACTTGATCTCTACTTCACTGTTGAGTTTTTGAATTTTTGCAATGTTCTAGTACAACAAAATAGACTTTACATTACAATACTTTCACTTTTGTAGTGGCCTTATGTCTAATACAATTTTTCAATGGATTTTTCGTCTTTCATTTGGGAGCTCGTTAGTAGATCCTTTCTTTCATTCATCTTTCGTACAGCATAGATTTTGGCGATATCAATAATGTAATGTTGAAGGAACGTTAGTTATATTAATTTTCTTGGTGGTGTTTCGTTCGATGAAGCTTTTGCATTCGTTGATTCTTTGTTTTCGAGTTTCTCGAGGTTTCCACTCGTTATAATTCTATCTGAATTACTTCTCGAATGCGATTGCGTGCCACAAAAAAGTAGTAAACCAACGGCGACCGGTATTTTTAATTGAATCAATCGATAACCCCGAATACCACCGCAGCGTGATTACTTTCTTAGAACAGTATAATCGCTGGTCGCGATTAGACTATCGCGATCCAATGATTTTTCGGTCGGTGAAAGGAAACTGAGAAATAATTGATTGATCTGATTTGAAACAGTTTGTTAGCCGCGACTAATTGTAGCGATTGTTTCTCAAACGTTTGAGATTAGATTCGATGAGTCAGTAAACGAAATTTATTTACCATTTCTATCTCGGTAGGCGCTCACAGACGAACAAAGGGCAAAGTTGTCGGAGTACAAGAAGAGCTGTGTCGCGGAAAGCGGCGTTGATATAAGTGAGTCTGATTTTTGTGTAATAGATCACTGCTACGAATCGTCTCTAGTTTTTCAGATTGAAGTATTAACTTATTATTAACCCCTTGCCATAGAATAACTGAGACTTGCGACGATTTCTCGATTAATTGAACAAAATTCAATGTTCCTCGTTGCTCACGGACCAAAGCAAAGAACTGTGCTATTATGAATTTATTATTTTCAAATGAAATGTTCACTTAAAGTAGAATGGAAAATTATGTCGCATTTCTTCCGAATTGTCGATAGTAAAATATTACGCCAGTTTCGTAGCAAAAGTAAATAATACGCCAAGGGGTTAATGTTCTTCGGAACCGAGATATATTTTCTTCGCGTTTGTTCCGCAGAGACGGTTGAAGATGCTAAGGCTGGCAATATCCCCGAAAGTGACGAGAAACTGGCTTGCTTCGCCTCTTGCATGCTGAAGAAAATTGGAATCGTAAGTATTTTGTGTCTTCTTTGACCGCTAGAAAATAATTTAAGTAGTTATTTGCTCGCTTTCTTTCTCCTCTATCGTTACGTCGTTCAAGTGACCGCGCGTCAAATGTTAATTCAAAACGGACAGACCGTTCATTACCAATAATAATAATTACTCTTACGACAGATGAACCAGGACGGATCCATCAACGAAGAGGTCGCTCGGCAAAAAGTAGCCACCACCGTTCCTCAAGATCAAGCTGAAGAGCTTATCGGCAAATGCAAAGACACCAGTGAGTGGAATGTTAAAAAATTATTAGCTGCATATAATATGTTTGACGTTTATTAATGAGATTTTTAACATTTTTTTAGCTGGAGCCAACGACTGCGACAAGGCTTTCAAATTGGTTAAATGCTTGAAAACCAACAAATCATTCGCTGTACTTAATTAAATAAGAGACCCTTTTAACGATATGATCTGACAGAAAACTGATATTGTATACAAAAACTTGAACAACGCTTGTAACTGTATGCTAATAAACAAGTGGTTAGTAAAACTTTTCTGTATTTTCCTTTCCCTTGAGATAAGAATATAAAAATAAAATTGATATATTTATCGTTGTGATAGTTAATAGTATTATAATATAGTAACAAATAATTCTTTTCCTCGAGACAAGAATATAAAAATAAAAATAAATTTGATAGAGTTCTCGTTGCAATAATTAATAATATTATAATACACGAGCGAATAATTCTTGCCGTACTGGCCGTAAGATACAGTGCAAATTCCGGCAAGAATCATTTGCTTGGTAAAATCTCCAATTTTGACAGTTGGCGCCATCCGTGGCAAAACGCTCAAACTGGTAGACAAATGTTACCAACAAGGTAGTTAATGCGGACGATGGTGGTGACATCTATGACAATATATTAGAACTTTTTATCGGATTAAGTCTGCCAAAAGTCGTTAGAGGGCACCACAATTAACTTTCAAGACAAATTTGTTCCTTTTTTTTTAAATAATTAATTATTGCGTGATTGCAAATAAATCTCTTCACATTTTATCGCAATGAGATAGTGCACTGAGCAATTGATTTACGATAAATAAAATATAATATATTTTTTTATACATGCTTCCGTAGAATTCAATTTTTAATCAATTATAAGCGATTGACTTGATCTACTGTTTAAGATGATGATACTTTTAATTTAAATACCGTAATTTAAATGAAAGTAAGGATAGAAAAATTGAAATTGTACCGGAGAATGTCGTCCGATGCCATGTTTATTCAATAAATAAGTTCCACGTTGGACATGCTCGCAAAGTGAGCAACATGGCCACGAAGGAGACCAATCTGCCTGCGCTTTACGGGGAATTAAATAAATTAGGACAGAATGGGGAATACGAAAGAGCCTTAAAGATTGCGAATAAGAGTAAGTGATGTTTTTCGAATTATAATATTAATTGATTTCTGTTAATTTGTAGTCAACATAACCTGTGCCCCACTTTCCCTGGAAGGTGGTCACTCATAGTAAAAAATTATTTAGTTTTAGGGCTTTCTCAAGATGAAGAAGCTGCATTCCATTGTAAAATTATTTGTTGGATTCAGCTGTCAAAGTTCAATGATGCTCTTCAATTTATTTCTAAGAACCCCAAATTGGCAGTGTAAGATTGATTTGCCTTGATGCTATATACTTTTAATTTCTGTTGCTCTTTACATAGTTATACTCATCAAAGAGTGATGAATGATAAACCTTCAGAAATGAACAGATTTTCTTTTTCCTGCAGCAACTTGGATTTCGAAAAGGCTTACTGCTTATATAGATTAAATCAAGTACCAGAAGCATTAAAAGTAGTGGAAAATGTTCCCAATCCTTCCTTAAAGCTCAAGGAATTGAAAGCACAAATATTGTACCGACTTGAGAAATATGAGGAATGTTTTAGCGTGTACAGAGATATAATAAAAAATTCTCATGATGACTATGAAAATGAAAGAGAAGCAAATCTTGCAGCTGTGGTTGTCAACTTGGCAACAGAGGATTCTGTAAGTTTTCAATTCATTGAAGGTACTTAATTGTTTCATATATGGGTTCATCTTTCAAGTATTTTTTCAACAGAATTTGGAAGTTCCTGCTTTACGTGAGGACACGTATGAAATGACATATAATGCAGCATGTTATTTAGTTGCACAAGGCAGTAAAGGAGATAGAGCACTTCTAGTAGAAGCAGAGAGAAAACTTAGGGCAGCTGAGAAAATGTGCAGGGAAGCTCTTGAAGAGGATGGAGTTGCTGAGGAAGAAATAGAAGATGAATTAGGGATTATTAGAGTTCAACTCGGATGCTGTCTCCAGCTTCAAGGTCGCGAGAAAGAAGCTCAAGTGTTGTACACTTCAGCTTTGAAGGCAAAGCCAGATGATATAGCTCTGGTAGCAGTTGCAAGCAATAATCTTGTATGTCTCAATAAGGATCAGAATGTGTTCGATAGCAAAAAAAGAATGAAGAGTGCTACTCATGATAGTTTAGAGCACAAGTTAACTTCCAGACAAAGAAGGAACATTGCATATAATCAGTGCCTACTTGCTTTATACACTGATCAGGTATGAACTTCACTATAATATATTTATACTATTATTATTTATACAACATGTTCCACATATTTACAGGGAGAACAGTGTCAATCATTTTGTAATAAGCTTGCAAAAGACCACCCTGCATTAGCTGCAGATGCAATGTTCATTAAAGCTGTGCAATTAGGTAAAGAGGGTAAAGCAAAAGATGCAGCAAAATTATTGACTCAGTATGCAGTTGGAGAAAAAGAGTTATCGATGAAATTGGTCTGCGTGCAACTATTACTGAGTCAAGATGAGAAACAAGAAGCGATTGAGACTCTCGAGAACTTAAATGAAAGAGATAAGTCACTTCCTGGCATAGTCAGCGCCCTTGTAACACTTTACATGGCTAATAATAACCGCGAGAAAGCATCGGCCGCGCTCAAGAACGCCGTTAATTATTACAAAAGGAATAAAGTAAATAGATTCTGCCTCTCTTTGTCCGCATCTTTGGTTTCTTCGGTTTGATTTATATTCGTGTCTTCACTTTCAGGAAACCACTGCTAATTTAGGAGAGTTTTGGCGGCAGGCGGCTGACTTCTACCTTCGCGGAGGTGATATTAAGGTAGCGGCGGATATTTTACAGGAAATGGTGGACGCCTCGCCTTCGGATACTAAAACATTGGCACAGTTGGTGGTAGCATATGTACAGTTCTGTCCTGAAAAGGCGCAACTATTATCCAAGCGCTTGCCGCCACTTCACGATCTTGCGGAAACAACTGATGTAGATTCCTTGGAGAGCAGTAACTGGGTCATAGGTACCAAGGTGGTCAGGAAAAAGATAGAACCATCCCCTGGGTAATTATTTTGTATTTATATAATAGCTCGTATATTGTACATGTAATATTACATGAATTTTTTGTTGTTTAGCAAACCTGCCGTTGATCCGACGCAAAAGAAGCGCAAGAAGCGTAAACGCAAGGGAAAATTGCCCAAAAATTACGATCCAAATGTTCCCCCTGATCCTGAACGGTGGTTACCCAAACACGAACGTAGTGGATTCAGAAAGAAACGTGATAGGAGAAACCGGGATGTTGCAATGAAGGGTACTCAAGGTGCTGCCGCTGGAGCCAGTGATCTTTAGTACGTTTTAGAATATCATACATACATAAATATAATTTTGCTTTTTGATAGATTGACGGTGTGAATAATTTACTATTATTTTTAACAGCGATATCACCAAAATGTCTACAAATGCTAAACCTTCCCCTAACCCACGGCATAGCCCAGCAGTGGAAACATCCGGTCCACGACAACAACAACGGAAAGTGCAACAGAAAAAGAAAAAGAAGGGAGGAAAATGGTAATCACGATTGTTCGTATTTTAATTGTATTTTAGCAAGTTGTTACGAAGAATCAACTAACTGTTTATGTACAGTGCACTATACTGCCATTTTTAAAACAACTTCAATCAGTTAACATTTCCAATCTTTGGTACTAGGTTCGATTGTAATAGGATTCTAAATGTGAGGAAAATATATGCAAAAATGTGTGGTACATAAAATATTTTTATTCCTTTTTTTTCTTGTTTCGTTAAATTCTTTCGTCCATTCATGACAAAATTCGGCAATATAACATACAATATAGGTAACATGTTTCCTTGCGTACATTGACTAGGATTTGGCGATACATATCTTTATTCCTCTGTTGGTAACAATTGTATATAAAAATACAATCTGCAGTTCTGAGTTCTCTTTTTTTTTTGCATAATAAGTTTGTAATATGTGTAGATATTATGATTGTGCGTCAGATTTTAACATTCATATAACAGAAATATATATGTATATAAGTGGCATATAATTCACAACTACAATAATCCTACGTTGCACAGACAATAATGAAATGCCACCTCGTATATCATTAATAGTTCCATAGTGAAAATCATAACTCTGTGAAGACACATTTTGATTACATATCACTGTAGCAAAATCGATGTATGCGCATGCGCACGCGTGCATATATCATAAAGAATATCATATCTTCTACGATTCTAACTTATTGTCTCGTATTATCATTGCACGACACAGCAATTGTTTGTTGTCGCATATATAAATTTTTAACAGAGGCAACTGTCGAGGTAAGAATATAACCGTATCGTAAAATGTTTCTACATCTGTTCCTATAGTTGATCTAATAACGGGACTGTAAACCGTCCTGCCTAAGAATATCACTTAAAATACTTGATACCTTTCCGTTAGAAAATAGTGCAACAGGCACGCTCGTATTCAACTAGTCTGGACAATTGTGATATGCGTATATATGTAGAAACGAAACAAACGCTGGAAACTCATTTTACCAGTCGTAAGCGATACCATCGTCATGCCGCACTCATCTATTGGCGAAAGTTATCCCCATGTGTGTTCCCGAAACCAATAGCCAAATCAGCACTCGACAAATGAGTTTGTCATAGATGAAAAATAGATGAGTAAGGCACAAATGCATGTAAATGTCATAACACTTACATATGATGTAAGTCATTTTCCATGTAACGTTACATTACCAAAAGATAATGCTACTTTTCGGGAATTATGCCTTCCCAGACGTCTTCCCGTTGTTTGTTCGCTAATCTACGTTTCTCTGAAAGATAACAGATCTTTATGTATGTATTTCATTTTATCGATCTCCTTGAATGCACAATCAATATAAACAGAATACTTACCTTTAGCTTCACGCAGAATATTCTTTTCATGTTCCCGTTCTTGCCTAGCTGTAGCTAACTTTACACCTAGAGCACCCGTGACCAATCTCCTGGCCAACGCAGCACACGTTTCCGGGCGACTTCTGTAGGGTTGTAAAAATTCAGCGCTTCTCCTGGCTTTCGTTTTACTTAGTGCCGTAGCTTCGCTCAATGGTCTTGTTTTCACAAACGGATGATCCGACGCCAAAACCTCTGCGGCTAAAGAATTGAACAGCGTAAATACATGTCGAATTACAATATGGCTAGCTATTATGGAATAATTTTAATTACCGACAAGAGGGCTACTAAACACTCCAAGACAATGGGTATCGTCTACCCACTTCAATTCGAAGCCGCCATTTTTAAAAGGGCTAAAAACGGCTGCTAGATCGCTAGTCTTAAATTCTGAGGGGAAATTGTATATCTCTACAACGTGAGCAAATTCGTCGCTGGACACTTCGATGTGCTTGGTATACGCTTTGTAATCGCTTTTTGGTTGTTCTATCATAACGTCGCCCACTGCCGTCGTCAGCTAAAGAAAAAGTAACCTTAAAACGATTGTCGTGATTCATAATTAATTTAGAATTAAAGAAAGAAATGCGTGTATTAATGCTTGCCTCCTCTATGAGGGTTGGGTCCAAACAGTCGCCGTTGTCATCAAACAAACTATCCCAGTCGCACTCGTCTCTGTTCATTTTTTTAACCGGCGGAGATGGCGGCGGCGCCGGTTTACTCTTCGGTCTTTCAACTTTCTTCACTTTCTTCTCCGGTGGTGATACAAGCGGCGGCGTCACCTCCTTAACGGGCGAGGGTTCTTTTTTCTCTACGTCCGAGATAATCAAAACATCCGACACCATATTGCAACGAATTATTCGCGTGTTTTTCTTATTCGCTATTTTATCCTTCTTCGAAAGTACATCGTTCTTTTTATTATTATTCGACGTGGATATCGTAACAACATTATCCTTATGTTCATCAGATCTCTTTACCTCTTCGTTAACATTCACTTCGTTATGTACACACGCTTCAACTGAATCTAAACTAGCCTTATCCTCACTACTACTACTAGACGATTCTTCCGCTTTAACAGATTGCGGCTGAATCGTATCGGTTCCGTCGCGTTTCACGTCCGGAACGGTAGAACTGTCTGGTCTGTTTGGCACGTCCTCGCTCGCGCTATTCAGTTGCTCTGACTTTTCTTGATTACAGAGTTCAGTGTCAGACACAACTGAAGAGCCCAAGGAGTCATTCTCTTTCGAGTCTGTCTGAAGACACTGATCAACTTCATTCTCTAGGTTGCTCTGACATTTATCAGAGCACGTATTTGATCCCTTCTTTGCGCATTCTGCAGTCTGCTGACTATCAGAGTCTATTTCTTTAAGGTTTAAATTTGATTTTGATTGTCCATGAGATGACGAGGAGGTTGATATTGAAGTCTCTTTAGTTGTACGGCTCGGACGAGTAGATTCTGAAGGCTGTGGGCTCCCTTCGGTTTCCAAACTCCTTCTATGCCTTGGAACATACACAGCACGGTCTGGCCTCCTTTGTCGAGCAGCTCTTAAGTATTTCACAAAGCAAAAAACAATACAGTAAGTTGGACCTTGCAAGAACAACGACAGATGTTACAAATACATTCCAATAACTCACTTTGCATTAGAAGATGACTCAGTAGTTGGTTGCAGTTGAGCTTGATCTGTGTTTGCCTGTTCATTCCTAGCTCTCCTGGCAGCTGGTGGTCTATAGATTTCAACTGCTGGTGCTGCTTTTACTAAACAGTGAAACAGAACCAAATCAACCTTTTCTTTGTAACTGTTCCATTAGAAATAGCAATAACATTTGTTTCTAATTGTATGATAATGTTTTTCAATTCTATTATTTGACTCTTACCATTGATACAGCTAGGATAAAACTTACCGAGTATTAAAATGATAATAAAATTAAGCGGAATAAACGAAGAAATATTACTCACCTGGTCTCTGGACTCGAACACGTTCTGGCGAAGCGGAGGGTGACCGCTGGCCATCAGCGCCCATCTCTAACAGCGTGTCAGTAACTTTCGAATTCAACTTACACTGCACACCATTCAATTTCGGGTCCCTTGAATTATAGAAACAGAGAATCAGAACGCTGACAGACTCTAAGTTCACCGTCGCACGAAATATTAGCCGGTCTTCTGGTTACATCCGGGCAGCATGCTAAGCGACCTTGAGCCGGTCAGTTTCACTTTCGTTCGCCGCTGCTACGTCGTAGGAATTCCGCCGCGGTAAATTCATTTCGTAATCGCTCGTCTACATTGGTGAATTTCTGATTATGGAACCGACTGTTATTTACAATTCCGAATCCTCCTCTTTTTCCGTACACAATCAATCAACATTTCCAGAACCGAAACGTAACAATAGCTTACAAACATACATTAAAATACTTTCAAAAACGCATCATCGAAAACCGCAGGTTCTCCAGTTGCTCGCGTAATCCACAATGCCATCGCGGATATACAATTACGCAAGAAATCGATCACTCGATCACCAATAAACATCATCTTCCACGCGAATATAAATCCGATATTTACACCTCATATACATCGAGGAGCATTGGTTGGCAACCATTTAAAGCAACCAATAAAATTCGAAAAATACTTGGACCGATCGATGCAGCAAGGCCAAACAGAGACTTTCAAAATGAAAGTAACAACATTTGCACTTCAACAAGCGAGATACTCGACAAACTTCTAACAGAACATTCCATTCCCGAAGATATCTTTCGCACACTGCTTGCAACCGGCAGTCACTTCCACGAGCTACTACCTAATGTGAACCTCGTCGACGATTATTGTCACTGAACACTTCGGTACCTTATCAAATCAGTCTTGTAGCACACGACGGTCCGCCTGTCCGATCCCTGACCGATCGAGAACGTGTGCAGATCCTCGAAGCGATCCTGCACCAGCTGGTGTATGATGTACCTCCGATAGTTGTTTACAGGTGGAAAGACGAGTACTCTGTAAAAGTGAAAAGAACCACGTTACGATCGCGGTTGAAAGTGAGACCGGACCGAGGACGGCCGACGGTGAACGTAACCGCCTTGCCCCGGGCCAGTTCGCCGTATCCCGCCAGATGAACACGCCGGCACAACTTTTACATAACGCGTTTTACTTTCTCCTTCGTTCGTTTCCTCAAATTCGAGGCATCCCCGTCTGCATTCTCGATACCGGCGTTTCGGCCGCATTCCGACTCGTCGCACAACCTCGTTAACGTTCCACATAATAATCACGATTCGATAACAAACCGGCCGCCGTTGCGTTCCGCACGTGAAACGGACGAATAGGGTGAACCGCGAATGATCCGTGCCGGTGGCAGGCCGGATGTGCACGGTACCAGCGGTGAGAATCTTTCGCTCGTTTGGTCGGGTGTAACGGGAACCTTAGATAACACAAAGGATTACACGGACTAACGTAACGATCTTCGTGCGTTTTTTCAATGCGATCCCTGGGTGTTTTTTATTCTGATACGATACTCGGGATAAATCGAAGAATATCGTGTTCATTTAACCCTTTGCGGACGTCGGCATTTTCGCGAGATCAGATAGGTAGGAGATCAGTAGGTAGTTTTCGTTTTTTAATTATCTAAGCGATCGATGTAATTTGGCTTCATCTGCTGATGGTTTTCTATATTTCAAGGAATCTTCACCCGCAAAGGGTTAATCGTTACTGTTCAGTGTTACGTATTGAATTTCGATTTCATTCATTTTGCTTTTCGTTGATGCGTTGACTGCCGGTGGTCATCGACGGAGATTCCAAATTGCTAAAGAATTACGACAAAAGATTTAATTTTAAATAAAAATATTTAGTAACATAAGTAACTAGATCTTAAAGGGTTAAAAAGATTCCAAATAATTCGGAGTTAAAGGAGCGAGGAACAAATGCTTCCGTCCTGTTTTGTAAATACCGCATTCACCGAGAACGGTGTCAAATTACGTGTACCGTTAGGGTGTACAGTTACGGTTCGAAGCAGCTGCCATATTGCTTCTGACGGGGATGAAGTGTGAAACTTGTTGCGTGCAAACAGGGGTTGCGGGTAATATTCATGTTTGAGTATACGTAACACAGGAAGTATTGTGAAATACGGTCCACGTACAGGACGACGAACGGTTTGAATGATTCATGCCGTTCGATAGTGTAAGCTGTACGGTTCTAAGCGGCAAGAATCACTGGAGCATTACGGTACGCGACCCGTTCGACGCGTTACACCTGCTGGAAAGGCGGGTTTCGATGTAGAGCAACAAGATGAACAGGAAGCGGCCGGCCACGGTCTTTTTGCGCGATGTAAATAAACGATTTGGCGAGGATGCTCAAGAGCACGATAAGTTTTCACCTTTACCTGGCGTTTCACGTTACGTGATAGTTAAATTGCTACATGCCGCGACCGTTCAAGTGGAACGGACCGTGTAGCCGCGGTAAATCGGTTCTAACCTCCCCTACTCCACCCACCCCTCTCACCGAGAGATGAAAGCTGGGAAGAAAAAGAAATCGACTCGCCAGAGCGAGCAAAACGACCATCCCCGTAAGCCAGGCTCGCCTTATGGTGTTACCAGGCCCCGGGCACTCTTCTGTATGAAACACCCTGTTCAACCCTTAACCACGAAATAACGGTAATCAACACGTTGACCGCCACGGTGGATGACCGGAGCTTCCAAACTGCTGAAGAACAATTGCAGTAAACAGAATGATGTTGAATAAAGATATTTAATAACACAAGTTGGTAGATGATAGTGTAATATAACTACTGTGATGCCATAATAATTATTTTCGCGCGAGGCTGCCAAATCTCTGAATTCATTTCCAGCAAGTGGTTCGAGGCATAAGTTGGTAATGTTTAGAATCAACCATGAAACTCCTGAAACGAAGCTATCAATATTGAATAGTTAAATGAATAAATATTGAACAACAATGTGGATAGACACGGGGAGCTATTGTCAGTGTAAGCATCTTTATCTTGAAATATTTCACTTTATCTAGAACGTGCCCATTATGACTAATTGATAAGACGGCCCTGGTCTTGATCCGGTCGCTGCACAGCGGTATCATTCGTCCGATCTCTAAATTGTGCGATCGGCAACAACCAAATCAACGAGCCTTGAACTACAAAGAAGAAACAGAGCTGTATCTCGTAAGTATTGCGTACGGTTCACGTAATCACGCGTAGACGTGAGCGACATACGGTGTGCCAGTGGGCGACACGGCCAATAGATTAACAGTCGCCGCGCGGAGGGCCAGTTTTCAAAACATGCTGCATGGGGGATTCCCTTTGCGCGCGGTTCCAATCATTATGCAACGCCGCGCGATACCGATCGACGTTCACGAAATTTGTCCTTTTATTATGTAACGCGGTTGCGTGTCGTATTAACCTCGTTTGCATTAATCATATTCCACGCGAGTCGCAAGACGCGTTCGATTAACCCTTTGCACTCGGGAGGTGACTATCATTCACCATTTGATTTCGTACGGTAAACCTATAAAATTTGATAATAAATATTATACCTTGTATAGTTATATAACAATTGATGAGTTATCAATTAAAGAAATATTGAAATAAAATAGCTTTGTTCCTCGATGTACGTAGAATTTCTCTTCGAGTTAGTTTCATAAAATATCGTCCTTATCTCATTAGAAAATATTAAGATATTTCTATTGAAAAACTTCCGAGTTAAGATACATGAAAATTCGGTGTTTTTGTTTGTAGCTTTACAACCATAGCTAGACGCAATAATTTTATGAGGATATAACCCTTTGCTCTTGAAAGGCACCGTATCTGCTTGATTTGATACAGCAAGATTATGAAGTTTGGTATTTGATATCAAGTACTAGATTTGATATAGCAAAATTATAGAATTTGGCACCATATACGGTGCGCTCCAATTCCTATAAGATATTTTCAAGGGACACATGGTTACGGATGGCGGTATGCGTTACAAAGCAGCCAGAACCTAAAAGAACAATATCAAAATATATGAAAATGACCAAAAATTTGAATATAAGTTAATACTTCATTAAAAAAATCAATACAGTTCATAAGCAAAATATGCCACAAGTGTGTAGTTATTAAGATTTCAATTAGCTTATATATCAATTCAGGTATTACTAAATCAGTATCCTGAATAACTCAAACAAGTATCTGTGTCTTTTCAATGATTATAGAAGAACATCGGGAATGGGTCATTTTGATCCATGTGGGAGTTCTAGTGTTAATATAAAGTAATAATATCATCTATGTTTCACCGATAAATGTTGACTGTTTCTAGTAGAAACCTTTCAGAGTGCAAAGGGTCAATCCGGCGCGCGGTTCGTTAGTGTCATTATCGCTGACGAGGATAATGCGTTCCGTTAAACTGTACATTCCGCGCAAAATTTCCTTAACGACCGTGCAACGCCGGAAGCTGGTGCCGTTGCTCGCGGAGGGCTACTTAACCAATATCCGTGACTTGAAAACTTGACCATCGACCGTAACGTAATCCAGAAATTTAGATGATCGACACGTGCTCCTTTTAATCTGCCCTCGGCGTGGTGCCAGCGGGTTCATGGTTCTTTTACGTTTCTCAAAATGTTATACGGCCCGTCAAAAATAGAACGTGCCCCCGGCGGGGAGATAACCAGCGGCATTCAAAATACGCGCGTTACGCAAAAAAAGAGAGGAATAACGCCGCCGAGTTCAGTAAGGTAACGGACCCATCAGCGGAAAGATACGTGCGAGTCAGCGTTCGCAGATAACTATGATTACCAGTCGTACTTCTCTAGACGGGGATATTTATAAACGGGGGATGCGAAAGAAGTCGATAAATCGTTGCTCGGTTCTCAACGGTTGTACGGCATCTTGGTCGTTCCTCGAGGTCTTTAGAGCTGCCTTAATTGCCCTTCGATTCCGATGACATCGCACGCGAAGGATGCGGACGTGTTTAACCTGTATCACGTGATATTCGGGGAACATGTATTTAGGAACGAATGCAAATCGAGTCGATGTTAGATCCGCGACGCTACCTTTTCAATTTTTTCGTGTCAATGACATACGTCAACCAACGAGTTCCATTTCTCGGAGTAACAGTTCGATGAATAGCTCAGGGAAAGCTTGACGGGCCCCGGTCGTTGCAAGCGTAGCACAGAAATCGAAAGTTGCGGATAACGCACGAAGACACGCAGCGGAGAAAAAAATTTGCTGATCTAACCTTTAAAGGCGCGTCGCTGTATCGGGAAACGTGATCGTTTGGCACGTACCTTTTCCGTCTCTTGTCCCTTGAAAACAAAGTCACGTCGTGCTCCACGTTTTCGAAGAAGAGGCTGTCTTGCAGGCTCATTTATCGGCGAAGCTGCGCGTGGTACACGCATACGAAAGATCACTGGCTTCACGAGTCAAATTCATCGGATATTAATCGAGTAAATCGCGTTTGCCGTGCTGCTGGACAGCAGCAACGGTCACTAGCAGTCGCGCATTGACCATAAACTATTTCAGGACGCACTGCGCGTGCGTCGACTTGTTTTAACCTGTTCAACGTACGCGCATGCGCACCAACGGTCGCTATACCCGCGTTCCCTCCGAAAGGACCGGCGTCACGCTCCTCCACGCTCCTCATTTGGAAAGAAGTTTTTTGTGTATTTTTGTGTTGAAATCACGAATTTTTGTATTGTTCCTCCACGTGGTACCGGCCTCGAGTTCGGTGAGTGTTTGCAACAGTTATTTCCTTCTAAATTTGCAATTATGTCCGTTTGAAAAATTGGACTATACACTTCGTCTAGTAGCCCCGTGACGAAGGCACGTTTATTATGTATACTCGGGATTAGATCGGTTTTGGGTATTATTAAATATTCTCAATAGAGAAATATATTGATTCGGAATATTTCTTTTGTTCCGATGATACGCGACAAGGCTTTTTTGAATTATTTGAAGGAAATTAATATTCCGTTGGCGAACCGCCATTATGATGATTTGCTAATCGTCGAATATTAAATAAACGAATCGTTGTTTTTCAAGTTCTAATTATTCAGTATAGTCATTCGGCAATATATCATGAGAATGATTTATCGAATTCAATCTTGTAGTCTCAATTAACGTTTAATTGTTCGTTATGACGTAAGTGGTTTTGGCGGTAAACGCGAATCAAATGACGTAGCCATTTTTGTTGCGAGAATCGAAATATCGAGATACAGATTTCGATACTAGGATCGATAATTTCCGCCATATTGATTTCGATTCGACGAGCGCGGTACTTTTAAACCGTGATACAGGCGGTTCTTGGTTTATAGTTGTTTGTTTTCGTTAAATTCTCAAGATTTAATTAACATGTTAAGCACCACGAAAATCTTTACCCTTTTTCGTAGGATTAATTTCATTTTGATTATGTAAAACATTATGTTACTAAATATCTTCAATAAAATAAATCTTCTAAACAAAATATTAGAGAAATGAAACTGAAACTTGAGTTCCTAAATATAATATTGTAGTTCATAATTTCTAATAACAATATCTATAGCATTAATTTCATTTTTATTAAGTAAAATATTATTTTTCTAAATATTCTCTTCAATCCAATAAATATCCTAAACGAAATATTAGAAGAATGAAACTGAAACTTGAGTTCCTAAATATAATGTAGTCTATAATTTCTAACAACAATATCTATAGGATTCATTTCATTTTCAATTACGTAAACTATAGGATAACGCGTTAACCCGTTCTCCCGAAAATGCGAGCACTCGTCCGTTAAATGGGCAGATACTGTACAAAACATATTTATTTAATAATTTATGGAGATACACACATAGTGTACAACATACAAGCACTAGCATTCATGAAATGCTGCTACTTTGTAAAGTCGATTTCACTTCATTTTCCTAGAATGTTTATATACAATCACACAGTTGTCTCGCTTCACGCTGCCCGATGAAACAAGTTTCGTTCACTACAAAGCGACAAATGCCCCGCGTTCCGCTCAACACGTCATTGCCCTTATCAAATCCTCTCGAGAAAATATGTCACATCTGATAAAATTCATTTTGTAGCCCGGCATTGAGAGAAATTCGGGGCCGGTTAGAATGTGTACAGTGCGTAAACATACAAAGTTAAAGGGGCCCTGGGCCGTCACCGCCCGGGCCCGATTTCTCTTTTCCGTTTGTTTCTTTCTTTCTTCCTTTTTCTTCTTTTCATTTCTTTTCTTTTTTTTTACCACTTTTCGTCTAATACAAAGCCGCGTCTACGCGCAATCGTCACTCGGAGTTCTGTCAAAAATATTCTATATATACAATCGGGGTTACGTATCAAAAAACAATTCACTTACGATTACGAATCGAACGGCTGGA